TAATATTCATAAAATGTTTAGTTAGCTGAATTACATCTGTCTCCCTCCCTAGTCTGAAGGTCTGAAGGTCTATGAGAGAAGTTCGTTCCTTCTTCTTACTCTAATTCGATGTGGCACCTGCGGGCTTCCAGGTGAGCTCCATGGCTCAGCGGTCAAGTGTGGAGGATGAGTGAATGAATGCCTGAATTGAATGTCTGACTGGAAAGGGAGGTGTTTGATTGTGCTGAGACAGGAACTGCTGCAGGAAGACAGAGGTGAAAGAAACAGAAAATCTATACAAATACACACACATAAAAAGCATAGCAGGATGGCTTGACTGGTGCCCATTCCGTAGAGTTTTTTTTTTTTAATTAACGTGAGCTGTATGTAAAGCAACTGGGCTGAGTGTCCTCTGTTATACCACGATGCCGGCTGGAGGCCAGTCACATTTTTCTGTCACAGGAAGAAGGCTGTTTAAGAAACACAGTGGCACGGTTTGCATAACTGTGACGGAGTCCATGGTAACAATGAGTAAGAAGTGCTGGGTTATTGACACGCTGAGTCGATGAATCAGGATCTGATGGGGGGAGTGGGCAGGTGTGCAACAGACCGAGTCCTCGGCTTGTTCATCAAGCCCCCTGTTGATTCATATGAACCTGATGTTCATGAGTCTTTGCTCTGACCGCATGCCATCTCCTCCCTGGGACAAGTGTTCCCATGGTGCCATGTCTGGGAACCAGTATCTGGAGCACAACTATGAACACAGCAAAGGACAACTGTGAGGGGTTTCAGGTGGGCACAGATGGCCCCACACCCCCAGTGTTAAACACCCTTGGTGTTTAACATTATTGGAAATCCTCATTATTGGAAATCCTCTCTGCAGTATTTTTAACAAAGCAGGATGTGTGTGTGTCTGCGTGTTCCATGTTCCAACTCAATCCTGATTCATGGAACTTTATAACATTTATCTCATCACATAGAATAAGAACATACTAAATTCAGGAGTTTTCTTTTATGAAAGGCAGCTATAAACTTCTTTAAAAAACTTAATTACCCAGGGGCGCCTGGGTGGCTCAGTTGGTTAAGCGACTGCCTTCAGCTCAGGTCATGATCCTGGAGTCCCTGGATCGAGTCCCGCATCGGGCTCCCTGCTCGGCAGGGAGTCTGCTTCTCCCTCTGACCCTCCCCCCTCTCATGTGCTCTCTCTCATTCTCTCTCTCTCTCAAATAAATAAATAAAATCTTAAAAAAAAAAAAAACTTAATTACCCAAAAGGTCTTGTGATACAATGATCTGTACTTAATGCTTGGTCATTTGCAAAGTAATATGAAGACATACATAGTCATTAAGTATTATTTGATAATAAAAACTATAGCAATATCAATCATTAAATTATTATCCCTAATTTTCATGAATTCCTACACACATACACACACGTGTGTATGCGTGCTTTAAAACTCTAAGACTTTCCAAGATTAAATTAGAGAGTTTGGAAGATGTTTAATTTGCACAATCAATGCCTTAGATATTATCTTAATGTATGTGAACGATTCTTGTTGCCTTTGTGGATGCAGTGGTGGATCATTAAATTTCACCCACAGCCACCTATACAAACTGGAACAACAGGACAACTGCCTGGACAGAAAAATGAATAGTGGCACCAGAATTTTAACATCTGTGTTAGTTCTATTTCTCCATTCCGTGATGCCCTTTGCTCTCTTTCCATTTTAATTTTGGTGGAGATAGAGCAGGCTGTACACAGTAAAACCAAAGATCCTCAGCCCCAGGGCGGTGGCTTCTAAATCTGTGTGTACATCAGAATTTCTTGGGAAGCTTCATGAAGCACAGCTTCTCCTGGGATGCTGCCCCAGATTCCGTCCTGCCGAGAGCAGAGCTGCCCTTCAGTGGACAGTGGACAAGGGTGTGGGGACCCAGAGATGCCCCACGTTGCTGTGGGATGCTCACAGTGTCCACCAGCCCCCACAAAGCAAATGGGAGCCTGCTGGGCTGTTCAATTAATGTATAAAGTCATTCTCCAAAATATATTTTTAAAAGTTTGTGTTGCCAAGGATGTTATAACCACCCAGCGGGCTTTCAGATGACACATTACACTCGGTTTTATGACCAACAGGTCCTCACTAACTAGACGAACAGCTGGCAACCCAAACTTCAGGTATTCACGGCGGGAATCCTGGTATTCCTTTTCAGACCTGCGTCTTCCCTGCTGATAGTATCCGCACCTTCCTTCCAGGGCTCGGATCCAAACATGGAAGACCTTCCGGATGCCTGTCTTTCTCCAGCCACATCCGGTCCACGGATTCGGACTCCGACCTCCTCCCCTTCTCCGCTCCCACCCGCTCGGTGCCACCACCATCTTGGCTCCACTACTGGAGGGTCCCGCTAACCGGTCTCCTTGCTCCCTCTTGGCACAGCGTGGTGGTTAAAGGCCCAAACTGCTCTGCTGTGTGAGTCCTGGACCTGTCACTTCCCAGCTTCGTGACTCGAGGGCCACCCTCCGGTCCCTCCACCCGCGTTTGTCCAACACACCAGGCTCCCTGGATCGCATTCCCTCCCCTTGAAGGCTTGCTCAGGTTTTCTCAAAGCTGCTTCTTTTATGTGGTTGGCTCAAACGTAACTTTCAAACTGAGTGCTTTCCTGACCCCTCTATTTAAAATTGTGACCCCCCCCTTCCACGGTCTGTGCCCCCCGCCCCCGCTGTATTCACGTCACAGCACCTGCCGCCCTGCACCAGACCACCTGCTGCATTAGCCGCCCTACGCTGTCTGGTTCCCCACACAGACGTGCGCACCGCACTGGGGGAGGGGTATGTGCTACTCCGTTCGCTGCCGCGGTTACCGCCGAGCCTCGCGCAGAGTGGGTACCGAGGACAGAGGTGTTCAATGCTGTTAGGCACTTTTTTTTTTTCACCTCTTCAGTTTTGTGCCTATACTTGAGCATTTCTTCGAGTCACTCAGGGGAGGAAAATGATTCACATCCTCAGGAGACAGTTTGCAAGGCCTTCATCTTGTATATAAAATTGACCAGGAGGGTTGACCAGGAGGGTTAACCGGAAGATTTTACCTTTTCCTTCCTTCCTGTATTTAGAGGCTCCTTCTTGCCTCGAGGATTAAAAGAAAAAAAAAAAAAAACTCGGCTTATCTATCATCAGATAGTTTCCTATGTTAACCAAAATTAAAAGCTGAGCATCTGTTCTTACTTTCTCTTTGCACTTTGACAATAACTACTCTTCCTTCTGGTAGTGGGTTCACTCCGAAAAGGTAGCAGCAGTGACAGGCCATCAAAACACATCAGTGATGTTATGAAATCACTATTAAAACAAATGTCTTTGAACCAGTGGTACATTCCAAAGGTGCTTTATAAATATGCACAGTGGAAGCTTCCTGGTGAAGCCTGGACCACGTGTCCACTTGGGATGATTAAAATATTTTTCTTTTATTATCACCATACACTGCAGACAATCAGGCAATTAGCTGTTTGTTATTCCTTTTGGCAGCAAGTGTCTTTTTTTTTTTTAATAAACGTGACCTCAGCCTTACCAACCCTGCCAACAGTTAATTATCAAGAAAACAGCTTCAGTCATTGAAACCTTATTCATCTTTGCAATATGCCAGCTAGGATCATTTTCACTTTTCTATGGATCTTGAAATTTTTCAATGTATAAGGAACTTTTCTTATAGGACAAAATATATGAAAATTTTAATGTGTCCTAGACTTCTATGATAATTAAGCACGTGATTGATAAAAGTAGAATGTATTATGGGGATGCCAGCATTTTTATTTAGCTTTCTCTGTTCTTGGCATTCACTTGAGCCATGATAATGCCAGCAAAACAAAACAGAAATTGAATAAGTTGAAGGCCTGTTATAACCACTGGAACTGAGAATATCTAGAAAGATCCCTTTGGTTGTTTCCTCACATACTTTATAGATCACACATCCTTCAGTAACGGTAAGTCAATATATTTATCTCTTATCATCACACTGCAATGTTTTGGTCAGTATCGATGATAAAATGCTTGCCCCAAACAACTATATGTGCATCCAGTGTAAAGCTGGGGATAGTTTTGGGGCTGGAGGATATAATTGATCCAATTCAGATCAAACCATTTGATTCACCACTGCCAAAATGCTCAGATTTTATGTATGAGGTGATAGGAGGTATAAAAACTGCACCAGAACTTTCAGCTCGTCACAAACCGCCATCATAAATTCCCCCACAAATAACTCCTTCCACCTAGAAATTGCAACCCCCTCCAGGTGACAAATAGCCAGAGCAGAGAAAGCAAATTATAGCTAAGTCATGGTTACCTGAGAACCATTTACAGCTGACTCTTTCCTGACCAGTGTCTCAGACTTTACAGGGACAAACTCTACGGTTGTCAAAGTGCCTGCTGGGTCCACACCACTAGAGTAGCACGCGAAGTTTTGTAAAGGAGGGTGGTTTCCTTTCTGTTGGTGAAATGTGATGTGAGCGCAGGAGAAAATGTGGCTGCCGACACACAAACACACACACACACACACACACGTGTAAAAGAGGTGTTAGAATTTGCATCAATTCGGGCGCCTGGGTGGCTCAGTTGGTTAAGCGACTGCCTTCGGCTCAGGTCATGATCCCAGGGTCCTGGGATCGAGTCCCACATCGGGCTCCCGGCTCAACGAGAAGCCTGCTTCTCCCTCTCCCACTCCCCCTGCTTGTGTTCCTGCTCTCGCTGTCTCTGTCTCTGTGAAATAAATAAATAAAATCTTTAAAAAAAAAAAGAATTTGCATCAATTCCATGGACAGCTGTCATTCAGTACGGTGGATGCATTGGTCCTCTGCAGAACTTGTTTACGACACACCTGTATCCATCCACCACCTATAATTGGGTTTCTAGGGAAAATGAAATATTGCTTATATATAGTTGCACAGGAACACGTTGCTCTATGAAGTAAAACCTCGTGGTTTTGCACACAGCAACCAATTACACAAGCTTAACTGGCACGATAAAGCTTATTAGCGTACCTGTCATGTTGCAATATACGAGAGCAGGTCCAAGCGGGCCACTTCCGTCTGAATCGATATAGTAGAGCCCTGAGGAGTCTCCTCTGTGCTTGTGGGCTTCACAGGACTGCTCATACAAAGCTGCAAAGGACAGGGATCTCAGACAAGGGCTGCAATGGGGAAGATTCCTCCCTGTCGTTAGTGATGGGATACTTTCCCCAGTGATACTCATTCTGCCTTGCTCTCGGGCACATTTTCTCTAGGGGAGTGGTCAGTCCCCTGTGTCAATCAGGCAGCATGAAGACTCTGAAGCTTGGAGTGAAAGATTTTAAGAGGTATCACCGTGTGGATCTGAACCCTGCCTGCTCTAGAAAAAAGATTCTTCCCAAAACCATGGTAACTGGACTCACGCTATCTACTTCTATTCCGCCTCATAATATCTAAGCATCTGAAGTGAACTGGCTTCATCTCCCTAAGTGATCTGTTATTATCTAACAACCATGTCGATGTATTAAATTACTCAGTAATTATACCCTCTGTTTACTTAGAACAATCTACAGGTGCAATGCATTGTTTACCAGATGAGTTTTATAAATCGGCAACTCTTCTTCATTCCACTTATAAGGTGTGTTTTAAAAGAAATTTCCTTAAATGCTTTGCAAATGATTATTCAAGCAAATTGAAAGTCAAAAAAATATATATACATGAAATGTCTCTTGGTAATTTCAACGTATCCTGATTTTTAGTTGAATTTTTTTATACGTGCAATAAATGTTTTGCTACCACAAGGCAAGTGATTAACATCTGCAGATGATGGACTTAATTAATGTTCAGAATAAGTTTAAATGACTAATCAACTGAGTAATACCTTCCATGTGCATCACTCATTTCCTTGACAGGAAAGACCCTTTGAAAACCTGAAAAGTAGCTAATGGCAGCCAGGAAAGAAGTACAGTAATGGTTCTGGCACAGTGCAGACTGGATCCCTCAGCACCCTAAGGATGAGACCTGGCATCCATGAACACAGTCCCAGCAAGTGGCCAGGCAAGAGTCACAGAGCAGAGTGATCCTAGTAGGGACAGAGGGGGCAGAGCATGGGCAGAGAACTGATGCCATTCTATACTCTATGGATTGTCTGCCCTTTAAAACTCTGCCTGTTTTGAAGAATGAAGAAAATCCTGGAGAGGGGGTGGGGCAGGGCAGAGGGATTTTTCTCCCTTCTCACAGAAGAAGAAGATCAAAGTAATGTTCATTTGCCCAGGGATTTTGCAAAATACAACATTCTTTTATAAAATATGGCCAAGTGTCAAGTGTGTCAAATTAGATTGGCCCCCATCAATAGCACACCTAGCACCATCTACTCTGATGGCCACAGAGACAATATGGATCGCTTTCCCAGACATGCTGGTATTTTGTCCACTCATGCTTATATTTCTACAAATACATAAATATGATCATAACCGCCTAGAAGAGTGTCCAGAGGGACAGACACAAAGTGATAACAGTGGTTACGTTTGGGTTGGGGCTGGACCTACCTGGGGACCAAGGGTAGAAGAGGAAACCCTAGGAAGACACTTGCTCTACATGTGAATGCAGACTCACTCACTGGGCACTTACACCAAAAACTAAAGGTCTCTGATCCCTTACTGTGGATTTGGAAATATCTCACCTTCATTTTGATATACAGTTAAAGAATCACAATGAAGTCCATTCAGTTATTAGACCAAATCAAATTATTAAGGCCACAAGTGAAAGACCCTTTATATAACACCTGTGAATTTTTAAATCAGAGTTGTTTGGAATGATGTTTAAATCAGAGTTAATGATAACACTTTAGCAATCATTCCTTAGTCATTAATATTCAGTAGGTATCTGCTCTGTGTAAGACAACTTGTTAGATATGATGAGGAGACGCTGTAAGTAGGAGGCCACCCCCATTCCTAGCTGCAACTCTAGACCAGTCACTCAGCCTCAGACTTCCCAGAAGTCCAGCTACTTCCAAATAGAGTTATCTTGGCAAGTTCTTACCTGGCACCATAATAGTAAATAGAGATGCAGGTAGAATTGCTCTGGGTGAACGTATGGGATTTTTAGGGGGGGGTGAGTCACCTCCCTTCGCCTGAAAGAACCTCCTGGCTCCTCTGTGGAACCCCCTGAGCTGGGGACCAGGTCTTCTCATCCCAACACTGATGCCTGCTTCCCTGGGGTTCAGTTCACATAAGGTTGGATACATGACAATCCATTCTTTGCTCAGTGAATTTTCATGTCATGCTATCTCTCTAAAGACCCAGAGAGAGGAGACGTGCTACAAAAGAAGGGACTCAGAAATGTCGGCAGTCACTCTGGAAAACAGTATGGAGGTTTCCTCAAAAAGTTGAAAATAGAGCTACCCTATGACCCAGCAATTGCACTACTAAGTATTTATCCCAAAGATACAAATGTAGTGATCCAAAGGGGCACCTGCACCCCAATGTTTATAGCAGCAATGTCCACAATAGCCAAACTATGGAAAGAGCCCAGTTGTCCATCAACAGATGAATGGATAAAGAAGATGTGGTATATATACACACAATGGAATATTACTCAGCCATCAAAAAGAATGACATCTTGCTATTTGCAACAACGTGGATGGAACTAGAGGGTATTTACCAAGTGAAATAAGTCAATCAGAGAAAGACAACTATCATATGATTTCACTCAAAACTGGAATTTAAGAAACAAAACAGGAGCATAGGGCAAGGGAGGGAAAAATTAAACAAGACAAAATCAGAGAGGGAGACAAACCTTTAGAGACTCTTGATCATAGGAAACAAACTGAGGGTTGCTGGAGGGGAGGGGGTTGGGGGATGGGGTAACTGGGTGATGGACACTGGGGAGGGCACATGATGTAACGAGCACTGGGTGTTACGTGAGACTGACGATTCACTAACCTCTACCTCTGAGACTAATAATACAGTATATGTTAACCAATTGAATTGGAATAAAAATAAATAAACTTTTTAAAAAAGAAATGTCAGCAGTGATACACAAAAAAGGAAAAAGTAGAATAAAAACATAAACAACAAAAGCCAATGATTAGAAAACAATGAGGATCTCGGGGCTCTGTCATAAACTTCTAGTAGGTAATGAATTAGGGGTCAATAAAGTTTGGCTAGCTGTGAAATTGAGAAAATAATTCTTCAGGAAAGAGACTTGTGTTCAAGGTGGAAGAAATGGGATGGAGAGGGGGTCGAGAGCTCTGGCTGGCAGCTGTGTCACCACAGTCGAAGGAGCTGACCCCTCTCTTTCCTCAAGCGTACAGTGTGGAAAATAAAGCACTTACCTTCTAGGGCAGGTTTGACTAAAGGAGTTGAAACACGCAGAACTAGAGGGAACTAGGATCCCACAGGCACGGGGCAAGTTCCCAGTGTGTTAACTACCACCAGCATCAAAGAGCATCAAGATTGCCAGGGACCTGAACATTTACTTGTGCTCCTCTGGAGACTCTCCTCGTTTGATTTTATAAACACTGACCATCAGTAATTTGTCCTCTTTACTTTGGCAGACAGGACTTGAGAACCAAAGTTGGGTCCAACTCAAGGAACAGAACAAGTAACACCATCATGTCATCTAGATTGCTTTTTGTATTTTGGGGGGGGGGTGTTGTTTGTTTGTTTTTTCACTTTTTGTTATATTTTATCTTCCTATACTTATTTTCCTTTGCCTGCTATTTTTTTTTTCATCCTATTTGGTACTATGGATTTCTGCAAGCTGCCTTAACATCACTAGGAAATAAAATTGATTAAAAATAAACCAGACAAGGGCACCTTGTGGTTCAGTTGGTTAAGCGTCGGACTCCTGATTTTGGCTCAGGTCATGATCTCAGGGTCGTGAGATCGAGCCCCATGTCGGGCTCCACACTGGGCTGGGATTCTCTCCCTCCCTCTCCCCCGGCCCCTCCCCACCTCTAAAATAAATAAATAAACAAACCAGACAAAAATTAGTCTCCAAAATACCTACTGGTTCTCGTTGTTGCTTTCTAGCACACAGCTGCACAGATACAGACACATAGGCACCAAATCAGAAAGGGAAAATAGAACTGCACGGAAATCGGGAACAGTGAGGCGTGAGGCTTACGGGAATGGCAGGTCGCGCCCGTGTAGCCAGTGTGCGCGCAGTCACAGGAGAAGGTGTCCCAGGACTGGGAACATTCGCCCCCGTGTTCACAGTAGCTGGGCAAGCACCTACAAGAAAACAGATACACCTGCTATTTCCCACATTCGGTCAGGAGAAAATGTGTATCTTAGCACTAACCTGCTACATGAAACATGGTACTGACATTGCTTTGAGGAGAAAAACGAGACCATGAACAAAACCCGCTGGGTCTGTCAAGAAGGTTTCCTAATGCAATACCCACCACAGACTAAGAAGCCCACCAGATGCTACCAATTGTCCTGTATTGGCAGCAGATAAATCTTCTACACATTGCATTATATCAAAAAATGTGTTTGCTTTTTCACAAATAAGGCAAGATTGGTTTCATCCATGATCAGAGAGACGAAGCGCTAGCAATGGCCACAGGCGGCCAGCCACACCTGTTCCCCTCCCTGCCTCCATGTCCTTGCAGTGGGACCTGCAGATCCTTCCACTGAGAGGCATGGCCTACTTCAGCCGGGGTTGGGCGTGGGACCTGCTCTGACAAATGGGGCATTAGCAAACTGATACATCAGAGGCTAGAAGAGTGTTTGGGAAGTGAAAGACCTATACCCAGAAAACGGTAATATATTCATGAGAGAAACCAGAGATGACACAAACCAATAGGAAGACATGCTATGCTCATGGATTGGAAGAATTAGTACTGTTACAATGTCCATCCTACCCAAAGCAATCTACCTGTTGGATGCAGTCCCTATCAAAATGCCAGTAGTACTTTTCACAGAACTAGAACAAAAACATCCTAAAATTTGTACGGAACCACAAAAGACCCTGAATAGTCAAAAAAATCTTGAGAAAGAAGAACAAAGCTGGAGGTATAAGTCTAGATTTCAAACTATACTACAAAGCTATAGTAACCAAAACAGTCTGGAACTGGCACAAAAACAGACACAGAGATCAATGGAATAGAAACGATAGTGCAGAAATAAACCCACAATCATATGATCAATTAATCTATGGCAAAGGAGGCAAAAACATACAATGGTGAAAAGACAACCTCCTCAATAAATGTTGGGAAAACTGGACAGGTACGTGCAAAAAAATGAAACTGGACCACTTTCTTATACCATACACAAAAATAAACTCAAAATGGATTAAAGACCTAAATTTGAGACCTAAAACCATAAAACTCCTAGAAGGAAACATAGGCAGCAAACCCTTGCACATCAACCTTAGCAATATTTTTCCTAGATATGTCTTCTCAGGCAAGGGAAACAGAAGCAAAAATAAACACCTGGGACTATATCAAACTAAAAAACTTTTTCACAGTGAAGGAAACCATCAACAAAACAAAAAGGCAACCTTTTGAATGGGAGAGGATATTTGCCAATGATATATCTGATAAGAGCTTACTAACCAAAATATATAAAGAATTGATACAACTCAACATCACGAAAACAAATAAATTAAAAAATGAGCACTGAATCTGAACAGACGTTTGCCCAAGAAGACATCCAGATGGCCAACAGACACTTGAAAAGATGCTCATCACTCAGCATCAGGGAAATGCAGATCAAAACTACAATGAGATATTATCTCACTCCACTCAGAATGGCTAGAATCAAAAAGACAAGAAGTAACAAGTGTTAGGGAGAGTGTGGTGAAAAGGGAACCCTTGTGCAATGTTGGTGGGAATGTAAATTGGTGTATCAACTACGGAAACAGTATGGAAGCTCCCCAAAAAGTAAAAATAGAAATAACGTATGATCCAGTAATTTCACTTCTGGGTATTTATCCAAGGAAAACAAAAACATGAATTCAAAAGGATATATGCACCCCTATGTTTATTGCAAGCATTATTTACAATAGTCAATACATGGAAGCAACCTAAGTATTCATCAATAGATGAATGGATAAGGAAGATGTGACATATATACACAATGGTATATTACTCAGCCATAAAAAAATGAAATCTTGCTATTTGATACAACATGGAAGGACCTAAAAGGTATTATGCTAAGTGAAATAAGTCAGATGGAGAAAGACAAATACCATATTATTTCACTTGTATTTCGAATCTAAAAAAAAACAAACTAAACAAACAAATAAGCAAACAAAAGACAATGAAAAAAAGATACAGACTCATAAATATGAGAGCAAACTAGTTGTTGACAGATGATGGGGGAGGGGAGAAGGGCAAAATATGTGAAGGGGCTTAAGAGATACAAACTTCCAGTTATAAAATAAATGACAGGGATGGAAAATACAGCATAAAGAATATAGTCAATAATATTGTAATAACTTTGTATGGTGACACATGGTAACTACACTTTTCAGGGTGAGTGTTTCATAATGCATGTAATGGCTCAATCATGTTGTACACCTAAAACTAATATAATACAAGACTGTTGAATCACAGACCTGTACCTCTGAAACAAATAATACATTCTATGTTAAAAAAAAAAAAGAAGAAGAAGAAGATAGCAGGAAGGGAAAAATGAAGGAGGGGAAATCGGAGGGGGAGATGAACCATGAGAGACGATGGACTCTGAAAAACAAACTGAGGGTTCTGGA